ATTGCCCCTTTTCTTGAAATCCAAAATTGTCGTTTTGTAAAGATTTAGTAATAAATTATTAAATTTAAGCCACGTCGTTAGATTTATTAGGGATTCTTTTCTTTCAGTCTCATTTTCGAATAAAATAGTACAGTCATCAGCGAATAAAGTATTTCAAATTGATTTAGGCATGTCATTAATATAAATAATATACAGCAATGGACCTAGAACACTACCTTGTGGAACCCCGTATTTTACTAGTCTAGGAGAAGATTCGTAAATAGTTTCTGTTTTTGTAGTTAAAGAAATTCGACTGATTTGTGTTATTAGTCGTGCGCCGGATGGTAAGCTACACGCCTGTCCATAACAGTTACAGTGCCACCCAGAGCTTTAAATTGCAAAGATCTGAGGGGCACTACCACTGCGCCCGTCACTCTGAGACATAAGTTGATAAGTCCCATGTGCCTGTCATTTCACTAGCACCCTTCAAAACCAGAACACAGAAATGCTGACATTACTGCTTGGCGGCAGACATAGGTAAGGTGGCAGTATACCCTGGATGAACTCTTTCACAAGGAGCTCCACTGCTACTAAAATGTACGGCAAAGTAGAGAAGTCCACTGCCAGTCACTATTGCCAGGTGGTTGAATTTCTTACATTTTTCGTAACTCGATGATCATCTTACAGGGTGTCACTTGCAAAGGTACAATATTAATTTTATAAGATCTTATGTAAAACCATGTGACAAGCAAATAAAGATATGAATATGAGTATGAATATCTTGCGTAATATGTAAGTAACTTTTGTTTTTAAGACAATTATCATAAGTTTTCAGGACGTTGAGATTTTTAAAATTCAATTAGACCATAACTATTTTTTGTTAATGTAAATCTTAAATATCGACGCCGGAAAGCGATCTTGTCGTATCTCGAAAAACAGGACCCGGTCCTGGTGTAAAGGCCTATTTTTCAAGATACGACAAGATCGCTTTCCTGCGTCGATATATTCTATTTATTTGTTTGTCTGTTTATTTGTCACTTGGTGTTATAAAAAAATGCAATGCTCGTTTCACCCGCCAGGTGTCCTAGAGACACACGTCCCTAATGATTTTAATAAAATTTTGTTATTCTTTTTGTACATTTTTTATTATATAGGTAAAGAAAGAAAGAAAGAAAGAAATAATTTATTCCTTGAAACACACAGTACACATGCATTTTATAATAATAATAATAATACTGATAATAATCGTAATAATAACCTAAGGATTTGAAACTAAATACTAATAATATAAATATAATATATGGAGCACAAAGCATGTGTGCTGTGCTGCCAAGGAAACCGTGACCCACTCAGCTTGTTGTCGTCTCACATTCAAGTGCTACGACGCTGATTTTCAGCGGATCCGGCAACAGAACACACGTGACACGGAAAATAGTAGGCGACACTAAAGACATTGATGACACCAGCACATAATTGTATTAATTTTAACACAAAACATGAACAATCTATTCCATTAAGATACAATTAACGTAGGTAGTTACATTTAATAAGTACTATGTCATGCGCAACAGATTACAATACAATTGAATGGAAATTAATATGATAAAATAGGAGAGTTATAAAATAGGGTTTAATGAATTAATTGAGAGGTTAGACAACAAATTACAATACAATTGAATGGCAATTAATATAATAAAATAGGAACGTATATATATTTAGTTTGGTAAAATTATAAAATAAGGTTTAATTAATTAATTGAAAAGTTTGATTACACTTAAACAGACGAACAATATTAAACTAAGACGCATATGTCCCCGGCACATCAGCAGCTACGATGGATATTTTTGAAGGTTTAGTAGATACTCTTTGAGTAATTTTTTGAATACAAACAACGAGGAAGCGTTTCTGATTGGCGGAGGTATATTATTCCAGCATTTCGAGGCAGCATAACGAAAGCTACCTCGAAAGCGCGCCGTTCTGTGACGGGGGCATACGAGACGAGATGCATGTCTAACATGCATGGATGAAAAACTTAGCTTGTCATGTAAGTATAACGGCTGCTTACTCTTCATGACTCCAAATAGTAAAGAAGCAAAATGTAATTTCCGTCGGGCTTCCATTTTAAGCATGCTTACATTATTTAAAAAAGGAGTGACATGTGCTCGATGTGGAATAGGGAAACAAAATCTGGTACACGCATTCTGCAAGCGCTGGATAACGTTTTTTGTGCGCACAAGCAGACAGCCTCCAAATACAGAGTCAGCGTAATTTAGCTTCGAGAGGATTAAGGAGTCGCAAAGTTTTATGCGTAAGTCCACATTAATATATTTTCTAATACGATATAAAACCTTTAAGCGATAGAAGCAGTTACGGACTGTATCAAGCACATGTCTTTCAAAGTGAAGGGAACCATCTATGAGAACACCCAAATTTCTCGCTTCCAATACACGCTCTACAGAGTTACCAGATACAGTTAACTGAGGATTGCAAGACGATATCCCTTCAATTTGACGCCTTGTACCAAGTATTATGAACTTTGATTTACCTGGATTTAGCAACAGGCTGTTCGAATCTGACCATTTGGCAATTCTATCGAGGTCTTCGTTCAGATGACTAACCGCGGTCCGTGTTTCAACAGGTTTAAAAGAAACATAAATTTGTAAATCGTCGGCGTACAAATGGCATCTAGGGTTTCTAACATAATCCACTATGTCGGCAGTATAAATAATAAACAAGATAGGTCCAAGGATGGACCCCTGAGGAACCCCTCTAGCAACCGTGGCGGCACCAGAAAACAAAGAGGATCCGTCCTCACCGCGCACTTCCACTTGTTGTGTACGACCGCAAAGATAGCTACTAAACCATTTAACAGCATTACGGTCGAAGCCATAGTAAATTAGCTTAGAAATTAAAAGCTGGATGTCAACGGTATCAAAAGCGCGAGAAAAATCAAGTAAGGTGAGAATGGATCCCTCTCCAGTATCCTGCGCAGACAAAATATCATCAACTACGTCCAGCAATGCTGTAGTAGTGCTATGTCTCTTCCTGAAACCTGACTGTTTCGAAGGCAAGATCTCGCTGGTCTCCAGGTACTCCGTCAATTGCCACATCACCACCTTTTCGACTATTTTTGACATGTATGGTAGGATGCTTATTGGTCGAAGGTCCTTGAGCTCTGATGGAGTACTGACCTTTGGAATGGGTCTAATTTTCGCTAATTTCCATTGGTCCGGAAAGTCACTTGTCTTAATGGACTGATTGACTAAAGCTGTGATAAATTTTAAAGTATACGGTAGGGTAAGCAATACCATATCACGAGAAATATCATCCACACCGCTGGCGTTACTTTTAATTGCCAAAATGGCTTTGGATACAGTCGACTCTGAGACCTCGCGGAAATTAAATACTGCAGTACCATGTCTACGAGAAGAAAAACTGGATATGTAGGCTATGTCTACATTACGGGTGGGTAAATTTAGTAAATGAGCATTTATTTTATCTGGGTCCCTCAAATGTGGAGGGATGTCGCAATCTTTGGCCTTGAAGTCAGCTACGTTTTTTTTAATATTCTTCCAAAGATCACGTGGGTTTTGAGATTTGGAAACACATTGCTGGAAAAACACCGTTTTCTCAGCATTTATTGCAGATAATACTAGTTTTTTTAGGTCTTTATAATAGGTTTTATGTGAATTCATCCCAGTATTTAGAGATCTCCGATGGGCTTCGTCACGCAGTTTCATCATCTGCCTAACATTGTATGTAAGCCAGGGAAGCATTCGCTGCCTGACAACAATTCTCTTTTTAGGCGCATAATGATTGAATAAGTTATGCAAGCAGGCGCTAAAATTATGTACGGAATCTCTTATGTTATTCGTTAGTAATCGATCCCAATCCGTTGCCCTAATGTCTGTGTTGAACGCATCTATGTCAATATTAGCTAGTGGACGATAAACAATATGTTTTGGGGGTACCTTTACCTTTCTCACACCGATTTCACCCGTGACGAATGCATGACCACCAAGATCCGGTATATAATCAATCTCAACATTAGCTATTTTCATACTTGAACACATAATGTCAATCAATGTTTCGCTATGATGGGTAAAGTGTGTCGCGTGGTTAACATATTGCACAAGATTTAAGCAATGTAAAAAATCCAATAGTTTTTTTGTAGAAGTGTCTTCAATATCTAAAAGGTTCACGTTAAAGTCACCAACTAGCACCACATGATCAAATGACGAAAAAGAAGCGATGGAATCCGTAAGGGCGTCGATAAAAATCGCCAGGGCCAGCCACGGTGGGCGATAAGCAGTCCCTATGGCAAGTTTAACAGAGTTAACAGTAAGACCAAGCCACATCTGTTCCACGGTTGGAGGGGCAGGTGGATGAGGTAGGAGTCGCGCGTTAATGCCACGTTTAATATAAAAGGCCACTCCACCACCAAGCCCATGTCGCACCGTTGGAGGACGAGGAATATGACGAAGCCTGTAACCCGGAACTGTGGGAGCACGCCCCTCTTCCCCCGCCCTAAGCCAAGTCTCGTTTATCGCCACAATTTCGGCAGCGTGGCGGCTCATAACTGTATGGAATTCATCGTGGCGGGAGCCAAGCGATCCAGCGTTTAGAAGACCAATAGAGAAGTTTTCACCTCGTACAAATTGGACAATATAAGAATAAAATAATTGCAAGTACTTCTCGTGTAAAAGGTAGAACCTAAGTACAGTAATATGTCGCCAGTCAGACACAAAGAACCAACCGCAACCCCGGCAAAACAACTCGAAGACGAAACAAACTCGACACGGAGCACGCCGACGGAAACACTTAGATCTCCGTAACTTATTGTTAACAACATTTATGAAAAAAAAAAATTAATTGCAATTACAAATTGAATAAGTAAAATTGACTGACAAAGTAACAATAAGACAATAATAGATGCTATACACATGCAAATAAAATGATGAAAGTAATAATTAATAATATTGAGTCCATTATTATAAAACAATAATACTAAAACAACTGCATTAATTTCCAAATTCAGAAGAACGAACAGCATCGGGTCCAAAAACCCTAGTGATGTCTGCCATCGTATGTAGGCGCTGTCGTGGAGAATCTGCAAAGGCGCCTCGGCGCACGTATATACGCCCGTCTCTAGTCCACACAAAGCGCCAGTTGAGTCGTTTGGCCACTTCTCGCGCACGCTGGAACAATTGCCGATTCACTTGTGTCAACCTCTCGTTAACATAGAACCGGCGTGGTGGGGTAGGTAGATCTGTACCCTCCGTGGTGGCACCTCGACGAACACGAGCAGCTTGCAGGAGCTGGTTGCGTACTGTTCTCCGAGCAAGGCGTACCACGATAAGACGAGGGCGAGGTGCCTCCGCCCCATCCGAGGAAATAGGCGTACGACCCACTCGATTGGCGCTGACGATGTCCTGGTCCTCAAGTTTTACACCCAGTTTGCCTGCCAGCGTCACGATAATGTGCTGCACACTTTCCACTTTCTGCTCCGGCACGCATGAAATTTCTAGATCGTTTAGGAGAAGATCTTGGTCTTTATCGTTAATCTCTGCCTTCAACTGTTCAATTGACGCCAGCACTTCCTTGTTCGTGTAGTTGTCGCAAGGATTCTGATCAAGACGACGCTCAACAATATCGACGCGTGCGGTCAATTTGTCAACACGTAGGTCACACTCATCCATCCTCTGCGTTAGATTTGCAATAGCAGTGGTCAAATTCGTCATTTGCAGGCGCGTAGCTCTCATTTCCTCCCTGAGTGCGCGAAGTTCATCAAGAAAAACCTGGTTTTCTAATTTCGGTGAGCAGTACGTGTTGAGTGTGGCATCTACCAATAACGGTGATATATCTTGAGGCGGACTTTGCAAAGAGGCTCCCCGACGAGTATTAATATTTCCGCGCACCGGTGTATGTGTGTTATCTTTTTTTGGCATTTTACTTATACAGGCCACACATTTCCAAGATGCCTTATGCTCGGGTGTCATCGTATTCAAATATCGTTGTTCTGACACATTTGCGCATGGTAGATCGTAATACCTATTACATTTGCAGCACGTCATATATTGCCTTCCCTCTATGTGAGATAAGCACCCGGCACATGTTTTTTTTGTAGCAGAAACTGACATTTTTTTTTTTTTTTATTTTAAAAGAATGTTCCGATCAACACAAGAAAAATAATAATAATAATATTTAAAAAATATATATAAAAAAAAAAAAAAAAAAAAAAATGACTTTAATACTGCGGTTTGAACTCGCGACCGTTTCGCACCGACACTGCGCTGTCCAACAATCTCCCGCTGCACTATTGCAGCGATACTCGACGTTGCGAAATTAAGAGTCCGCTGCGATGTAAATACGGTCGATGAACCGCGTGGGTGCAATGCACTCCGAAGGTCGCCCACTCACTAATCACCGTCACTATTCAAAAAATTGTTCGAATTAACGTGAATTTCGATAACTATTTGTCACTTTGTACTATTTAATGATAAGAATATCGTTTAACAAAATGCACAGTTTGTTAGAGTAGAAGCTAAGGCACAATTTGATGTATATTTTATCGCGAATAACACAATATTTCACCAACATTTGATTTTAAAACAATTAACAACACAGTAGCACGTCTACTCTCTGTTCCGCGCCCCGCGCGTTCTCAGGTATATTTATAATTGTTTTTTATTGGTAAATGAAAACACAGCTGCGAGTTAGATACATTAGGTGTCTGTAGGACATGTGATGTGTTAACTGTGTGTAGGTTATGATACGAATTTAAACAATTTAGGAAATGAAACTATTTTTCCGGACTTAAATCGCGTATATTCGTTTTTTCAAACAAACCGACGTTTTGGGCCCTTTACAGGTCCCATGGTCACGGCTGACTGAGCTTAAACAATTTAGTTTTGCAACGTACACTGAATTGCGTGGAACTTGGGTGATTGCTTATAAGCTCTTAGTAGGCTCTCAGAACGGACAAGTAGCGCAGAAGGCTGAGAATATGCCAACCTCAGCCTCAGTGCTAGTGCACTTATGCATTAAAAAAATGTGATTAAGAAAAGTTAACAGCATGTAGGTTTTAGGTGATAATGTAACTTGTTTCCATCTGAGTTCATTAAATACAATGCAATGCAATATAGCAACAATTTAAGGTAAAGTCTTTAATGATATTGTGATTGATTCAATCAAGAATCTTGATGCAAAGTCAATTTTTTTCACGGTGTGGTTTTTGCATTGGAAGCCCTGAGTCCATTAGGACGGTGGGCAAAAACTTCTTACTAAGGGGATTTATGTTAACCCCGTCTAAACCTCCGGAAGGCTATCAGATACTTCCGCCAACGAACAAGTTTATCGATCGAAAAGGGAAACGTTACCAGTCTCCTAGACATGATACCCCAGGGCACGAAATTTTCTACAACTCAGTTTTGTATAGTAAGGTTTTATAGTATATTTTTTCCTACCTTTAATGCCATGTGATTAGTTGTGTAAATATTCTTATCCATATAATCACATAAATGAGAAGGATCCGGAGCAATTCACTAGTAGATGTCCGCACAAAAACATTAAGTCGTGGAAACATGAAAACTTGAGGCTATGTTACTTTTATTTAGTGTAGGAATACTAAGAATAGATTTTTCGATTCGAGGTTATAAAAGGGTAAAGTTGTTTGTATAAAAAATCATATTCCTTGAACTGACAAAGATGAAACTTAGTACAAAATATTCTATAATACAAAATAATGTCAAAAGATTAACACAACATTTTTCGCAGCTAAATAGGGGTAAAATGGGGTATTAAAGTTTATTCGAGTATATGGGAACTATTTAAAAGTCATGGAACAAAAGTTGTGTTTACGATGTTAGTAATAAAGTCCTGTGAGATTATTAGTGTTTTACATATAACCCTATGTATTACTAAAAAGGTAAAGAATAAAACTTGAACATGATAATTTGCTGCATATCATCATCATCAGCCTATTGAAGTCCAGTCCAGTCCGATTGCATATATTGTGTATTAAAACCATGATTAACCCACTAACAGTTTAATTTTCTTTTATATCTGTATTTCACTTGTTTTTCTTAATTTTTCTTTTATATATTGTACTCTTACAATATATAATTTGAATTAAATCACTAATATTTTTAATTTATTTTTTAAACATTATATTTATATTATCTTCTTATTTATTTGGTTTCTATTCTAATTATTATTATATGTTTAAATATAACTAAATGGAAAAATGACGTCAGCGAGCTGATTATCGTATCCGCGATTACCTCTAGGTTATAGCTGAAAATCAGCGGTTTGCTCTTGAGTAAACACCGACGCTGTCCTATGACCATTTTGCACTGCTGCAGCACACGTGCATAACTGGGTGTCTAGCAGTGCTGCGACTCTGCTGTTTTTGTTTATTTTTTGTTTTGTTTGTGTTTTTGTGTTTTTATTTTTTATGTTTTTTTGCTGTTATGTACGTGTGAATGTAGTAACAAATAAACGTTTTATCTATCTATCTATAATTGTTCTGAGTGAGCGAGAGCGCGTGTTGATTCGGTCAGTTTCATCGTCATGTCCATTTCATCGAGTATATAACCAGAAATAGAGACGAAATGACATTTAATTTGTTTGAAAACTATTTTGCCAAATCATTACGGTGACAACTGTGCTCCGATTGGCCAGCCCGAATTCGAAACAATTGACGGGTTTCGTCAATTGTTTCACAGTTTAACTTGAGCTTTGCTATAATGGACGAAAATTGAAAAATTACATATTTAATTACCGATTCAATGTGATTCCGTTTGTTTTGTAATTAGATGTTTTGCTGTTTTTCCCACACCACCGAATGGAACAGCCCCCATAGTTAGAGATTATTATCTTTATTGCAATAAATACAGAATATTTTTGGAATATACGGAGACGAACACACAGGTCAGATGTTGACGCTGTACTATTTCAGCTTTCTACTTTGTGATTTCAGTGCAAATGAGAGTTGATATCTAAAAGTGATATTAAGCCCGTTTGCCTGATAAGTTGCCAGGCATAGATTTCGTCTCTATTTCTGGTTATATATTCGATGGGTCAAACTGCTCATCAATATGAACAACTTTTTTCTGAATAAAATATCTGCAGTTTCATACATTTTGATAAAATACAGCCAAGGACACATCACGTTCGACACTTTGGATTAATAATGTGTCACTGGACCGTCTTATCAGATGCGTCACAGAGATGAATTTAAATTTTAATTATTAAGTTTGATGTGTTCTTGAGGCATGAAATTTTACGTGGAACAGCTGGTTTTTTTCTTTCTCTTTTTGACTTAATTTAGGATAACGCGACAAAATTGCTTATGTAAAATAATAATAATAATAACGCACACACTCAACATAGCTCCGCACTATGCAAACCCTGTGTCACGAGTGCCATGGACACACACATAGACAACCACAAATTACACCCAAACTCACGAGGGAAATAAATGTAGGCCATTCAAATATTTGTCCCGGCCCCGGAATCAAACTTGGGACCTATGCGTGGCAGTCTCACGGTCGAATTCTAGAACTCTATTCAATACTCAAGTCAGGATTTGAGTATGGCTTAAAGCACTCGAAATCATATTCAAATCCCTGCCATTATGGTCGTATTTCCAGTGCTTGTGTTTCCAGTGCAATCCTGACTTGAGCATTGAGTAGATTTCTAGAATACGACTCTTAGTCAGTCATGGTAACCGTTCAGCTACGGAGGCAGTTGGAAATGCAAACATAATTTTGGTAAAATATAAAATGCGGAATCATTCGTTACAAACTAACGTCGGATGACCATACTATGCATAAGAAATATTTGCCGTTGAAATTATAATTGCATTTATTTCCAAGTCAATATTTTGTGAAATAATTGTTTTTCACGACGATGTGTGCATTTTGAGAAAGTTAGGTATGTGTAAAATTATTTGGTTAAATAAATAAGTAAACCAATATTAGACAACCACATACGTTGCTCTGATCCCAAAGTAACTATAGTACTTTTGTTATGGAAATCGGAAACAACGACCGTACCTCAAACACCCAGACCCGAGACAATATAGAAAAATAAGTTATTAATATTAATATATTAATAAGTAGCCAGGCCGGGGATCGAAACCCGGGACCTCAGAGATAGCGACACCATGAAAACCAGTGTGTAAGTCACTTCACCACTGAGGTCGTCAAATTACTTACTGAGTAAAGAAATCGTAAATAAATTAATGAATTATGTTTTTTTTTACACCAAGTGACGAAACGAAGTACGCGACTTGTCTATCCGTAGTAGTTGCAGTACCACTCAAGGCTTTAAGCCGTAAAAATCTGAGGGGCACTGCCACTGATCCCATCACTCTGAGACAAGTTGATAAGTCCCATGTGCCTGTATTTCACAACTGCGTTTTAAAACCGGAACGCAGCAATGCTCATTTTACTGCTCGGCGGCAGAAGTAGGTAAGGTGCTCTACTGCTATTAAAAGTTAGAGTTACGATTTTATGACACGCGGCTGGTAAAGTGCTAAAGATATTTCCTTGAGTATGAAACACATAGAGAGCGAGTGCGGGTCGGTCGCGTGTCGAGACGTGTCTGTCGTCCATATAAATACACGTAATCACACCCGTCGCGCTTCCGACCCGACACTGTTTATGTATTTCACGCTTTATTATCGTAAATATCTTTCAGCGATTATCACTTTCCATCAGGTTCACCATCTACTTGCCGCTTTTTAAAGTTATATCAAATACGTTACAAAAGCTTGATGCAAGTCAAACTAGGCACTGTTTTTGCATTAACTGAATAAAACCAGGCTTAACATCCACACCAGGAATTTAAATTATATAACAAACTAATAACCACGCGGCGAGCAAGCCGTAAGGCGCGTGCGCACACTATCAATGCACAAATCTGTTACAGTGTCATGGCTAAG